AGACCAGGACTTCGCATTCCTTAACGTTGTTTTCAAAGCTTAGTCCTTTGAAGTTTTTTCACCATTTTTTCATTTTGTAACTTTGATCCTCTGAACGTATGCGTACTCCTTGATAATCCGATGCAAACATAGATTTTCGATGTTGCCAGGGATCCTCCGTGCACTCGGATTATAATTTTGTTCATCATTCCCGTGAGTATTGATTCACATCGTAATAGCGATGGCTGGCTGGTTCTTCACGTTCTTCATGTGCAGACCCCCTGCGTCGGCCTTTGCTCGTTTTGCGGTGACTTTCCAATGTTTTCCTTCATCGCCTTTTCTCAACTTCTAATGCAGCGCTCCTTATTCAGTGCAATAGCTTTCATTTCCTCAGCTGCTGGCCAAATTTACTTTCCGTTTCTGTTCAGACTGATTGCTTCTCAGAGATTCTTAGTAGACATCGCACGCTACAGGTTGCCTTAGATGACCCTGCAAGTTTTCTAATAATTGTTTGCAGAAGCCTCCCGCTAGCTCAAGCCCAGTTGGAAGAAATTATACTATTCTTATATCTTAACTTGCAGAAATGTAACTAGGATGTTCTCCTAGTGAACAAGAAGTGTTGTGAAGTGCCTTGGCTGTTGTTTTTTGCGATGTCATTGAGAGTAGTCAAACCAAATTTTTGCGGGATGATTTTGTTTCAAAATTACCGTATGCTGATGCCAGTTTCCGAAAAAGTGTAATTTTCAAAGTTTAGTAAAATTTACAAGCAACTGCTACAAGCCCTTTTAAAAAAAAAAATTGTCCACATTCACAATCCTCGAAATTTTTTCCGAACCCGTACAGCCATAGCACAGCAACTCCCATGGCTGAGACCTTCATTCGTATGGTTTTCGTCTCACCTTACATATCTTTTTTATCCTATACAATCCATTGTTGCAAAATTAGCAACGTCTACAAACAATGAGAAATTCCTAAAAATGTGGTCGATTCCAGGTTGCTTGGCTTTCATTCTGCCTATGATTTGTACTCTACAATTTTTTTTTGTAGTTTAGAATAATTGGCCTAACATTTGGTACATCATTCTATCGACTTGTCAGGAAGCCTGGCTTTCTAAGTCCATTTGTTAACGCATTGGCAGTCTGTGAACTTTTACAGTTATTATTTACATTGTACTATAGAAGAAATTTTAGTTTTTCGATAAATGTTCTAATTCTAACCTTGGAGCCCAAACACGAGACACCAGGGAAGGAGGATCTACCAAGGAAAATTTCCAAGTTCTTTTCTACTGAAAAAGATCACTATCTTTGGTTTCTCAACTGCACTCGGACCCGGCAATGCGCAGAAAGCCGAAAAGTTACGTACTTATATTTTCCAGTCTCCTTGCCTTTGTTTCTGCGAGATTATCAAAACTATATCTGCGAAAGTCAAGAATTTGAGCTCACCTAACATAAGGATGAATTCACAGTGACATCGCTAGAAAATGGAGCCATTTCTAGGATGCATAAATTGGCAGACTTCCGCAGCGGCAATATTTTCTGCTAGCTCACTAAAATTATAAATTGCTTCCATGAAAGCATTGGAGGATAGCCATCACATGCCAAGTTTTGCACTCTTTACTCTAAAAAGTTCTTGCATGACCGGCAAATTTTATATTCGCCCTTATTTCTTTTCTTTGCATGATGCTTTGACTTTGGATTGTTTTTAAAGGAGCATAAATATATTTTTTAAAGGAGCATAAATATATATGTTGAGCACGCCGCTGCTTTTGCAGCAAAGTTTTGACTTTTCAAAAATTTAGCATTTGAGGTTTTTAGCAATTCTAAAAAATCTGCTTGTTCTGAGTGTACTCTTTATAGTAGGTTTTTGACGCTTACGCAACATTTCTTCAGCGTTCTTACTTACTTAAACAGACTTTTTGCATTTTCTCGTCTTCTGGTTTATTTCTGAATTCTCTTTGATTAGAAAATCTGGCAAGTGGTGGCGCTTTCCATGATGAATCCTGCATCGAGTATCGATCATGACGCGAGTTGACGTTGCTGCAAAACGAGACTTGCACTTTTCGCTCTGCTTCGAGCCATTGTCCCAATCTTTGCATGAAGTACACGTATTTTCAGACATTAAACGAATTTCGAAGGTATTGCATGGATTTTTTAGGCCTTTTTATTCATTCTTTGAAGAACAGTTTTACTTTCTGAAATTTCTGGCTGCTTCCATCGGTCGACTCGTCGTAATCGGTTCTTGGCAGTTATCGCGAAATCTAGTTTGCTGTTTTTCTGATGGCTTTCTGGTTGAATCCGTTGGGTTCACATTCGTTTTATTAGGTTGTTGCAAAAATAATGTCCGTTTTGCAAATTTTCACTTTGGAAGGCTATAACTTCGTTCAGTCTCCATATTTTTGAATGCTATCAAGACCATCAGAAACATCAAACCTTTTTTAACTTAGAACGCCCCTGCCTATACTAATATTGCAAACGGGAAGAAAACCATGCGTCAGAAAACTGAAAGTTTTTCTCTTGAAAACCTCGTCTTCAAGAGCTTACAACTCCCTTCAAGCTTTGTCCCTATGTCTGCTAATTAGCTTATTTTGTAGCCGCAGGTCAATAGTATAGGTGAATATAGAAAAAACTCCAACGAAGGAGTTCTGCGAAAAGAAATGATAAAAATTCAAAAATGTTCACTCTTTTGAGCCTATTTGTTGTAGGCTTGTAAGTGCCTAATTATGAAAATTTGGAATTCTTCGCGCACTGAATAGCTAAGTTTCTCTTCAAGTAATGTAGTTAAAGTTTGCTAATTTTAAGCTTACAGAAATGGGCGAAGCTTTGGCGATTGCCTTAATTATGAGAAATTTCTGACCCATAGAATGCCAGCAGCGAGTGTCTACTTTGACGCGTCAATTTCTCAGTCCACATTTTTCCAAAAATCTACATAAGCACGTAGTAGGTAAACAATCTTCATTCAATACACTTGCTGTGTTTTCAGAAGAATTCGTTTATTTGCTCCTGAATTGTGGTCAAGAAAGTGGAAACTATGAGATTCTGATTTTGAGTGCGGATGTGGAAAATGCTGGTGAAATTCTCACAAGTGAGGATAGCAGCTTGATTTCACCGCCATGAGAAAGTACATGAAGAGAGCTTTCCAATGATATGCAGATGCTATATCGAAAAAGAAATTCTGATGGGAAAAAAGTTGTTGTGATTATACAATACCACCCGTAATTTGTGAAAAAAAATGGCGGCGCCGCGTAAGTTAAGTGCCGCCGCCATTTTTTTTTCACAAATTACGGGTGGTATTGTAGGTCTAGAAAAACGGACATTATTTTTGTAACAACCCAATACTTTTCTTTTCATTTACCGCTTTGTCTGATGAGGTTCGTAAATCAACACTTTAGTGCGACCAACATTTTCGATCTGATTTTATGAAGAGAAATTTTGAGAATCAAAAATTGGATGCCTGATGCCAATCTGTCTGTGCATGAGATTATCGAATTAAATATAGTGGTGACATTTCTGTTTGCTATATATGTTGTCCAGACCCTCACTTGAAATTGTGCGCATTACCACATCGTCAGTAATGATTGTATGACCGATAAAGGCTCTTGGATTTCTAACTTACAATAGAAGCCTGCATACCGAAGATTACATTAGAAAAATGCCTTTGAGTTTTTGTAACGACACCCATCGATTGAGCCGTGAAGTTTAGTGGGCGATTATGCATTTTTAGTGCCAGTGCAGTGCTTATCAATCTTCGCATTCTTACGTCATCTGCCTCCTGCGTCCACTTCACCGCCTAAGTGAACTTTTAACTGTGTTTTTTTGCAGCCCCGGTATCATGTTTTCACAGGAGCTGCACTTTACTTCGCGCATCATTTGTCTTCAACTTTGTTCGCCGTTTAACCGACATTTTGAAGTGCGCTCACTCGTTCGTTCTTTGTTGTGTTTTTCCCACATCGAACTAACGGTTAAACTCGCAAGGGACGAGAAAAAGGAAGAAGTATCGTTTCAAGCCGTTGCTTGGATTTCTCGCTCATTGGATCGGAAAAGTTATAGTTTATTTTTTGATCGGTCTGATCTTTTTAGATTGGCAGTGTGCAAATGGCTTTTTCCTTTTTTCTCCTATAAACGTAGATGCTTATTAGCAAGACATCATCGTGTAATGCATAAATTGCAATTAATATCCAATTCATCGGTGCTTCGACTTATCTAAAAAGAACCTTTGCCCAGTGTGCGCTGCTGGTCTCACCTTTTCCGGCAATTTGTGAGTGAATTAGCTTGACTGCAGCTAGCGGATGACGGAATATCTTTACTATGAATCGTAAGAGTTGAAATGATGGTAGTGATTGTCATTGACGCCGATGTTTTACATACTTTGTACGGTTTTGAGGTCACCAAGGGTCGCTACCGCTTGCAGCAAAATCGTTTTAAATGTTGTACTTTCTTGATTGATCGCCATTCGCCAATTACAAGGCTGTCCATAAGACCTTTAAATTATTTCAGTTCAGTCTAAAATCTGCTAATAATAGCTCTTACGCAGCCTTTTGATAGATTAGATCGGAGCAGACCCGAGCAGACTCACTAAAGTGGTTTTGAAGCATAACGCATTTCTTTGTACTGATCAACTTCCAAAGAATTCTCAGAGAAAGTTCAAAACAAGTGTAGAAAAACATCGGAACATAGACGTCTTGGCTGCGAGGCAATTAAGTCCAATAACGAGAAATCCAGAGCTGAACGACCACAATCATTCAACGTCACATTAGCACAAGGTCTTTTATAAGTTTTTTCGGCATCTCCACCTTTACTTACTTCTATTCTCACAATTCCGTTCTCCAGTAAAATCTTCATGACACTGTAAAATTTGCACATCTCGTAATGCAAATAGGACTTGACAACATTATTATTTCTCCACCCAGGCGACATAAAAACAAAGTATAGTCCAATGCTGTTTGCATTTCTCTCAGGAATGTTGACCAAATTTTGTTTCCTACCTTGCTGAAATGTTATCGATTCCGCATTGTTGCAAGCTAGTAGTCGTTGTTTCGGCTGTTTTTGGCCTTATCTTACAAGGCTCTTTGATTCAGAGTCTATGGAAATCAATGGAAATCATCCAGAGGCTGATTATGATACCACAAAATTCCATCAGATCGTAGTTACGGTAGGTGTATTCAATATTCATCTTTTCACTTCTTTGCATTTTGAATTGAATCCCATCTTTTAGGATCCCCAAACCAGCTCATCATGTACTTTTACAATTCCAAAACGATACACCAACCTTAGATTTCTTAGTGCGGGTGCCCAAGGAACTGTCGTGTGAGTGAAATTTCCTAAAGACCCAAGTAATCCATATAAGATTTTTTCTGCAGATCTGCGGATGATACGGTGGCAGGAAACCCAGTTGCAATCAAGAAAATGCAGCAGCCATTCGTGATGACAATGAGTGCTCGCCGAGCTTACAGAGAGTTTGTCCTACTAACCACCATTAAGCATCCAAATGTGAGTTCACCCTGCCAAAGCCTTTTCTTTGACACGCAAGAATTATTTACATTTTTTTAACTTCATTAAGATTTTTGGAAGTACAATCTTCAAAAAGTTGATTTTATGCTAGGCGATTTATTCATAGAATGCTCATTCAAGTAAATTTCCTGCAATAATATTGAGCTTTTTGTCTCGGTACTCAAGGCCTCAGAACAACTGCTCCCATTGGGCCAGCGCCATGTCCCACGCACAACGTTCGTATTGAACATTTGATCTCAAGAACTTTCTTATGTATAAAAAAAGCTTTACTTAGCTTTAACATGGATTTACAGTATACAGCGAGCCACCGCTCGCTCTTCATCACTGTAATGTACAATAGATTGGGAGGATTTTTGTTCATTGAGAGCCCTATTTTAAAGCAAATCAAACAACTCAAAAACTCTTATACTGGCTGATCGGTCGGAGCTTCTGACATTCAATGTTCTGGACTTTTCCGCGTTTCGTTCATAATCAAGCTTAAATCGCATGACCTAATACCATCCTATGCTTCTTAAACTGTGACTATTCAAAACTTCACAAACTCGTAATAAGTTGAGTATCAGCGCGCGATTACCCTGGTACACAACTTTTCAGGTTATTAGATATATTTGAAATACGGCCTAATCCACAATGGCGCTTTGAGCTGAAAGTTCCTACCGTAATCCTACATTAATAAAGAGACTGATAATTCGTTCCTTACTATAAATTCAGGCTGAAGCCAGCTTTACAAAACGTTGTTCTAAGTAAGGTGAAAGCTTTTCATCTGAGGAGGTTATTGGAGATCAAACTTTTGATATATAATATTATTTTGGGACTCCTTGTATATCTTTGATTGTACATAGAACTAAATCAATTCAATGTCGGATATGCTATAATCGATGAACTTACGTAATTTATTTCTACCCAGTCATTTCAAGTGCGCGGGCGTAGTATCTTATTTATGAGCAAACTTCTTCTGTTTGCTTATGCGCGCGCTTTCAGCAAACTGTCCGGATGGGAAAAGTCGCATCATTGGTCCGTGGTCTGAATTGAAGTCAATATCTCGTGCGAATAAAATACATACCAACAAATACATACTGTTCACAATTGAGAAATAGCTACAGTTCAAGAATTTTCTAATCAGGTGGGAATGCTGGAGGGAGATATGTTGCGTGAAACATTCTTGCGCCATCTAAAAGGGGTAGAGTGAAAGCTCAATACGCATTCATGTGAATGAGGGAAAGCACCGCAGGACTTTAGCATTTGATGCAACTAATTTCAAATTTTCTGATATAAAATTCTTTAGATAATTCAACTTCTTAACGCCTTCACACCTCAGAATGAGCTTAGCAGGTTTCGAGAAGTCTACCTGGTGATGGAATTGATGAGTCACAATCTCCATCAGGTGATAAACAAACTTCGGTACGTTTTTGTTTTCTCTTTTGGCTTTAACTTTTTTACAGAAGATTGCTAACATTAATCTTAGACTAGATCACAAGACTCTTTCCTTCTTCGTATATCAGATGCTTTGCGCTATCAAGCATCTTCACAACTCAGGAGTTATACATAGGGTAATATCTTACTTTTCTCATTTCTCTGCCAATAGAAACAGCTTTTTTTATAGGATCTGAAACCGTCCAACATCGTTGTGAACGACAGGTGCATCCTAAAAGTACTGGATTTTGGCTTGGCCAGGAAAAAAACGGTTGACACAGCTATGCGTATGAGCGACTACGTTGTTACACGATATTATCGTGCTCCAGAAGTGATTCTTGGACTGCCATACTCAGAAAAAGGTAGGTTGGCAGCATATTAAATTACGGCCTCTTCGAATGCTTTGAGTTCGCTAAACTTGCGGTTGAGAAAGTAAATGTCGACTAGTTGTCACTGTTCGTAAACGATAAATCAGCGTGGTTATGCGTACTTTTCAGTAGAGCGATATAAATTCTGTCTTTTAAAATCAGAAAAAAGATGTTTCATATTGGCACTGTAGCGACTGCTGCGCGAAAGAAATTTTGTCCTTCTCATCAGTTTTGTGCTTCACTGGCATCTCTTAGTATCCCCAGAATCATACATACATACGGGGTGTACCAAAAAAGATATTGAACCTTCGATCGCTAATGACTCTTCTGTTTGAACAGCCTTCTCAAATTTTCAGCTGCCATTTTTAACTTAGATTTGTAAAAGAAAACAGGGCACTGATCTTCATTGCTGTCGGATTACGATAAGGGCTTGCAAACGACATTAGCGTCAATAAGAGCATATATTGTCTTGAAAATTATTCGGACGAGTTGAAATCTTTGTAATAAGGTTGACTAGCATTGCTATATGAGCTTTTCGCCTCATCATTATCTCTACTTTAGCGTCTTCCCTATAATTATTAGAATTTCTAACGACTGAACTGCTTGCAAAAATGTACGAAGCTTTTCCACCACAGTAGTAAGTTTGTCGTAGAGCAAGTTGATGCCAGCAGCCTACAGTATGATTCCTAAAGGTTTCAAGAAGCTTTTTGAGCAAGAGAACTGAGCGCTATAAGCAATCAAATGTTTGATACGTTTCTGGGAATTTCTTATTCTGTGCAGATTATTCATGGATTACCTTCAAAAAGAGCAAATTTCAAGCCATTTCTGGTTTGGTGTTTTAAAGTCACACAACAAGCTTTGGCTTGAATTGCTTTGTTTGTCTTTTGTCGCTCTGGTCTGACTGATGAATTTCGCAAGGAGTGATAACCATAGCATTATTTACGTTCCACTAGAGTGGTGGCTGACTCATGCGTACATATTTCCCATAAGTTTTTGTATTAGTCACAATCCGTTTTAAACGTGATCTAAAATTTTTATGAGATTGCGAAATGGTTGTCAATTCGAAAAAGGGCGATCTTGTTTTTACAGTAGACATTTGGTCAGTCGGCTGCATATTTGCTGAAATGATCAATCATCGTGTGCTGTTTCCTGGATTAGATAGGTGAGTAGGACAAGCTTCTTATTCTTAGAGCAAATCATCAAGTAGAGCTTATTAAGAGTGGATCAGTGGACAAAAATTATCCAAGTGATGGGAACACCAAGCGAAGAATTCATTTCAAAACTTGGCAGCAGTGCATCTGTGTAGGTTTATGAATACAGACTCAATTCCTGTTACAGCAGATTTGGTACATTCAACTATGTTAGTTTTAAGGTATGTGCGCTCGCTTCCACGTCAGACTGGAAAACCTATCGAAGAAATAGCTCCAGATGTGAACTTCCTGAAGAATACGGAGAACGTCCGAGCTCATTTAACAGGTTTGCATCAATCTCTTGTCCCAGTTGTAATTTTCTGAATGCATCGAACCGTTTTTTCCTAGTAGATTCGGGATATACTACTCGATAGAACAAAGCAAGCTCTACAAAATAGTTTTGGAGACCCACCTAAGTCTTAAACTGTAAAATTCGGAGGCAAAAAACCAGAATTTTTCCATTACCTCAAAAACGGATCTTCTTATAAAAAGATCCTACCCCGAACCAGGTCCTCATACATTAGATACATAGTAGTATTCATGAATATATTTGCTGGATTTTTTCTGCGGCAAAAAATTGAGAAACAAAAACAGCAATTGCAAAAATGTCATTTTCCCAGGCTTTATAAATGTTAACACTGGCATTTCCTATTATCAGAGCGCATACAGAGATATAATTCTAAGATTATGCTTACCAAGATTTGCAGTTTACAATCACATTTGTGGGGGAGCTGAGGGCGGAGTTCACCATTTTTGGACTATTTTTTCTCAAATTTTATCGAAAAAAATTAAGCAAATGCATTTTAAGATACTACCACCTTCTGAATTTTGCTCAAAAATCCAATTTTGAAGTTATAAAACCTTTCGATCTCACATAGACTACGATTAGAGTTTGATTCAGGTGGATATTTGGTGGACATTTTGTGTTGCCCTAAGTCTACTAAAAATTTGATTCAGAAGAAGGGGTTTGCTTTTGAGACTGAATAATCTGAAGTTCATCATATGCTAAAGAAGAGTTTCAGCGGAATCTGGCCGTGATTTGTTGTCAAAAATGCTGGTTATCAACCCAGACTATCGCTATTCTGTCGAGGAGGCATTGAACCATCCGTATGTGAAACTATGGTTCCGGGTACGTTTTACAATATTGTTGTTTTGTATGTTTGATTCTCTTTCATCAAAGACCCCATTTTCAAGGATGATGAAGTAAACGCCCCTCAATCTGAGAATCGCTATAGAGAAGAAGTTGACTTTGCTGAGAAACAGTTAGCCGAGTGGAAAGGTAAGTTCGCCTTATACTACACGCGTCTGCAGTTCAAAATATTGATATTCAGCGCTCATATTCGAAGAGGTGAAACAGTACGAACAACATCACGACATTTTCCAGTCATGAAAGGATGTGATCGGCTACTGCCCTCTCCCTACTATTTTGTCATGACAAAGTCTAATCAAAAACGGGATCTTACATTAGCTACCACAAAATATCACCATATAGTACTAAATTGTCTGTTTCTCACTACAAGAAAGGTGACTGCCATTAGGATTGTACTCCAACAGGGAAGGCATCTGTGCCGGGTTCTGTACTTGAGGCGGGTCTGGTAGGAGATCCTTGAGTTTAGGTTCATGCTCCGCCTCTGTTCTCAGAGCTAGTCATCTCCTTACAGAGCTCTCTATACAATTTCTATGTGTGATGTGTTGTATATCATGCGCTCATTGCAAATGGCATGTGTTTATTCAAGTAGAAAAGTGATCCTGTAAGCGTACAATATGATTATTGCCTTGTATGTTTCAAATTGATGAAGGTTCAACCTGCGCTGTGCTGACAATAAGAAGTTTGCTGTTTTTTTTTTCAGAAATTGAGCCCAGCAAGTTGAGATATAATTGAGATTGTAGCTTCGTAGAGGTTATACAGAAAACGCAAGTTTGTGACAGTTTTCACAGCTTTGTGGTATTTTTCCAATGCTTTTTAGATCGAGCAACTTCGGCGTATTTTCACAAGATGCTGAAGTAGTATGGTAATACCAACTATCCACTTTTACTGAATAAAATTACAGGAAATTAGCTTCCCAAAAACTCGATTTGAAGTTAATTTACCGCGCTACTTGCAGCACTTTTGCGGATATCCCCTGGAATAATCTCCGCGTGCTTCAACTACGATTTTCCTTTTTACGGACTGTCCAAGTACTGTTATTGAAGACCCGACACGAGACGGCAAAACTCAACCTTGAAAGTTACATAGAGAAAAGAGGGGCATCGACATACAAGCTCATACGAACTACTTACCAATCAGACATCTGGAGCCCCATAACTAGCAAGCTTTTACAAAACTGAGACGCGATCCTGCTCAGGACGTCATTCACAGAAGCCATTTCCGCACTAAATCGTGAACAACTTCTCATCACAGAGCACAAGTGACCGTATGACACAGATTTGGTATACAATTGAACAAGGACTAACAGTAACAAGCTACAAGAAATTATAAATAAGTTGTGTGAATGAAGGGTAGGGCCTTTTTTTCACAATTCTCACTCTTGAAATAAAAAAATGACTTGTGCGCCAGTCTTAGGCAACAGTATGACTATATATTTGGTGCGCATACAATGGGAAACAAGAACAAAGCCTAATACTTCATGGAAATGTGTGGATGAAAAGCATGCTTGCTTTTTTCCAAATTACGTGGCGCTTGCACCCTAGCTATCTTGGGAGTAGTAAAATTTTCAGTCCACTTATATACTTCTTCGTAATTAAAGGCACCGTCCACCCTAAGTTGAGGATTTTGAGCTTTTGGCAGCATATAAATAGTAGGGCCCCTTATCAATCCAATGCCCAAGTCGCGGCGCAAAATGCCGCTTCGGAAGCGAGAAAATCGCTTCGGATTTGCGAGGATGCACGAGGACCTCCATCCATGCCTGCCCTCCCCCATCCATGCCCGCCCACTTGTGCGTGGCCATCCAATCACCGTTCCGGAAAGCCGGCCTATGGGTTCTCTGGAACAGAGAATGTCGGGTTTTTCGAGCATTCTCGACTTCAGATTCGGAATCAGGGACATGAGAAGGCCCTGAAACGACAAAAACTTGGAAATCGAAAATCTGGGTGGACGGTGCTTTCAATGAACAAACCTTCTCTGCTCCCAAGGTTTAGTATGCTGTAGGCATAATGCGAACTCTTTTCCACTTGCTCGAACCTAAAATATTAGTAAAAGCAATGAGTCACTGGCTCTTGAGGATTGAAATTACAGCGAACTCCAATCGAGCGATCAGCGCAGATACCCCGATGGAAGTGATTACCGTAAAATGTGTTCAGCAAAAGGAGAATTCGTTTGTCATTTGACCATGCCATGCCACCATCGTGCCAGGCTGTAACCATGCCTTGCCTTCCTCATTTCACCTAGCATACAGCACTCTAGTGAATCGAATGTAACAGTAATTTGAGTCAATATTGACTCTTTAAAAGGTTTGGGCACCTCAGGTTTGCATTATATGTAGACCTATTCTTGCACTCTTCTAACAAGCAAAGGTCACGAAGTTGAAGTGGCCGACCGTCACGGACTGCATATATTAAAATTGAAGAATGTTGGTTCTGATTCCAAACCTGCTTTCCCCATCTGCAGAGCCCTTCCTGAAAAGAAGTTATGAGCATTCTTAGACTTTGGAACTGAACTAATGACTGAGGTAAAATCAATTCTACAGCCTCTCTAGTCCTCACTTGAAGCAGTGGCAAGTTTATTGCTCTATTTGACATATAGATGAGCTGTAAAGACTAATTTTATCCCAGAATTGGTTCAGCTTAAAATGCTCATAACCAGGGTCAAGCGTGGGATGTGGCAGCCACACCAAGATGGGGGTTTTGGGATTTCAGTGCCATGCAAGAGTGGCCCCCCTCAGACACAACATCGCGCAAGTGCGACGTCATAATGTCCGACCTAAAGCAAGAAAACGACTGGAAAGTGGGGAAACTTACGCCATGGGGTGGGGTCCTCCGAGCTGTCCGAATTGCAGCTATGCGGCAGAGTACGTATGCCGCCACAGTTACAATGTAGGGTCCCGCAGCGACTCTGCGTCTCCGCCTTGGTGGGGACCGTCAAATTTCAAATTGTGCGCCTTTGGGAAACGTATGTTCTCGCCGTTTTCGCGCCTTCTAATGTGAATTTTCGGATTCAGCGTTGCGGATAACCCCCGGTAAGCGGATTTTCTAGAAATTGAGTTTTTGCCCGGACACTGTCTTTTTGTCATTCAACAATGTCTGATAGCTCCATTGTGCAAAATACCAACACAGATGTTTTGGCCTACCGTCGTACACGACAGTAAGCCTATTAAAAGAATCCTGAAAGCATAAGAGCACCGTTTTCGTAATTAGCACGTCAAATAACCCCTGAGGGCCAAGTTTCAGCGAATTTTAAGGTTTCCAAATACTCAAGTGAGGTGTTCATTTTCGTCATGCTAACTTCGTTTCAAAGGTGAGTAGACTACTTCTTTTTGCACTCATTACAAGGTACTACTACTTCTTTGCTTGTTTCAGGAATCCCACTTCAACTAGCCTCCACTTTGGAATTACGAGCAAGCCAAAATCTTGTTTGTCCCATTTTTCGCTTCCAATTTCTCAGACTAGAGAAGACCAATCAGGCTCAAACCACTTTTGTGAAAGTTACGAGGATCAGGCTATCGAATGTACTTGTTCTTGCCGCCTTCCCTCGCAATTTACGCAGTAGCGCAGACTTAGCATATTACCGTAGTCCAATATTTGCGCAGTGTTTTTCATTTGCTTAGCCAAGAAAAAACGACTATATCTCCCTAAGAAAAACAATTTCGCATGAAGTTCCTGCTATGTGGAGAAGAAGGTTTAGCAAGGGCAACCATATATTAGGGTGTTGCAAAAATAATGTCCGTTTTTCAAGCCTATATTTCAAACAACTTTGTTCCCACCAGACTTTCTTTTTCGATATAACATCTGCATATCATGGGAAAGCTCTCTTCATGTACTTTCTCATGGCGGTGAAATCAAGCTGCTATCCTCACTTGTGAGAATTTCACCAGCATTTTCCACATCCGCACTCAAAATCAGACTCTCATAGCTTGCACTTTCGTGACCACAATTCAGGAGCAAATAAACGAATTCTTCTGAAAACATAGCGAATGTATTGGATGAAGATTGTTTACCTACTGCATGCTTATGTAGATTTTTGAAGATATGTGGACTGAGAAATTGACGCGTCGAAATGGACACTCGCTGCTGGCATTCTATGGGTCAGAAATTTCTCATAATAAAGGCAATCGCCAAAGCTTCGCCCATTTCTGTAAGCTTAAAATTAGCAAACTTTAACTACATTACTTGAAGAGAAACTTAGCTATTCAGTGCGCGAAGAATTCCAAATTTTCATAATTAGGCACTTACAAGCCTACAACAAATAGGCTCAAAAGAGTGAACATTTTTGAATTTTTATCTTTTCTTTTCGCAGAACTCCTTCGTTGGAGTTTTTTCTATATTCACCTATACTATTGACCTGCGGCTACAAAATAAGCTAATTAGCAGACATAGGGACAAAGCTTGAAGGGAGTTGTAAGCTCTTGAAGACGAGGTTTTCAAGAGAAAAACTTTCAGTTTTCTGACGCATGGTTTTCTTCCCGTTTGCAATATTAGTATAGGCAGGGGCGTTCTAAGTTAAAAAAGGTTTGATGTTTCTGATGGTCTTGATAGCATTCAAAAATATGGAGACTGAACGAAGTTATAGCCTTCCAAAGTGAAAATTTGCAAAACGGACATTATTTTTGCAACAACCTAATAAAACGAATGTGAACCCAACGGATTCAACCAGAAAGCCATCAGAAAAACAGCAAACTAGATTTCGCGATAACTGCCAAGAACCGATTACGACGAGTCGACCGATGGAAGCAGCCAGAAATTTCAGAAAGTAAAACTGTTCTTCAAAGAATGAATAAAAAGGCCTAAAAAATCCATGCAATACCTTCGAAATTCGTTTAATGTCTGAAAATACGTGTACTTCATGCAAAGATTGGGACAATGGCTCGAAGCAGAGCGAAAAGTGCAAGTCTCGTTTTGCAGCAACGTCAACTCGCGTCATGATCGATACTCGATGCAGGATTCATCATGGAAAGCGCCACCACTTGCCAGATTTTCTAATCAAAGAGAATTCAGAAATAAACCAGAAGACGAGAAAATGCAAAAAGTCTGTTTAAGTAAGTAAGAACGCTGAAGAAATGTTGCGTAAGCGTCAAAAACCTACTATAAAGAGTACACTCAGAACAAGCAGATTTTTTAGAATTGCTAAAAACCTCAAATGCTAAATTTTTGAAAAGTCAAAACTTTGCTGCAAAAGCAGCGGCGTGCTCAACATATATATTTATGCTCCTTTAAAAAATATATTTATGCTCCTTTAAAAACAATCCAAAGTCAAAGCATCATGCAAAGAAAAGAAATAAGGGCGAATATAAAATTTGCCGGTCATGCAAGAACTTTTTAGAGTAAAGAGTGCAAAACTTGGCATGTGATGGCTATCCTCCAATGCTTTCATGGAAGCAATTTGTAATTTTAGTGAGCTAGCAGAAAATATTGCCGCTGCGGAAGTCTGCCAATTTATGCATCCTAGAAATGGCTCCATTTTCTAGCGATGTCACTGTGAATTCATCCTTATGTTAGGTGAGCTCAAATTCTTGACTTTCGCAGATATAGTTTTGATAATCTCGCAGAAACAAAGGCAAGGAGACTGGAAAATATAAGTACGTAACTTTTCGGCTTTCTGCGCATTGCCGGGTCCGAGTGCAGTTGAGAAACCAAAGATAGTGATCTTTTTCAGTAGAAAAGAACTTGGAAATTTTCCTTG